TGACCCACAACCGCCGACGGTGGTTACTCACCCCAAACCACCATCTCCGTAGCCCTTTCCCCCAAAACCTCCCCAGAAATCGCCCTACCATTGCGAAACCGGCCCACTCTGCCTTCCCCCACCCCCTGAACTAGCCATAGCCGAAACCCTAGCCTTGAAACCTCCCTTTAACCCATGTTTGACCATGGTTAAGGGCTTTAACTAGCCAAAAAAAAAAGAAAATGGGTTAGGGATATAATGACGTCATGGTTTAGGGCTTATAGAAATGTTTGACCATGGTTAAGAGCTTTAACCATGGGTTAAAGTGATATAATGACGTCATAATTGGGTTTAATGGGGGTTTGGTAGTAATCGCAACACCTTAAAATTTCATAACAAGAAAATGGCCTGTTTCCGACCGAAATTTTTCGTCGCTGAAGGCTCTAAATCCGTCACAAATCATGTTTGCGACGGAATTCCGTCGTTGGTATCCGTCGTAAAACCTTTGGTAGGAAATTCATGAATTTTCGAGGAATATTCCGTCGGAAAGGTGTATTCCGACGGATTTTACGACCGAATTTAATCCGTCGCAGAACATATTGACTTTTTGGTTTAGTCCGTCGCTAATTTCCGACAAAATTTTCCGTTGGTGTGCTGTCTACAACGACGGATATTTCCGTCGCAAACATTAATTTCCGACTGAAATTTTCCGTCGCAAACAGCATTTTCCGACCGAATATTTCCGTCGCTGGTAGTGTATTTTGCGACGAAAATTATTCCGTCGCTGGTTTACGACGTAACATTCCGTCGGAAAGGGTGGTGAGTTTCGACGGATTTAACTCCAGTTTTTCGTCGCAAATTTAGTGCTTCCGACCAATATAATTCCGTCGGAAATTGCTTTACCTTTCGAACAAAAATATTAACAAATATTATTATAATTGTGTATGTTCCTGCACCTAATACCTGTGATAATTAAAACTATTATCAAATTGCGAAAATATTAATAAATATTATTTTCTCAAAAGCTATATACATCCAAAAGCTACATAATATATAGTAAGTTCTACAAAAGCGGGAACATAATCAAACGCTACATAAAATTGATCAAATTAAGTGCTTGTCCATACTACACAAACCTAAGCTAAGCTAAAAAACTGTAAGGGTACCCTGGCTTGCTCCTCCACTACCCGAATCATCCCTAGGGTCTCGACGCTGAGGCTGAATGGTGGAACATGTGTCGGTGTTGTTGCCAAATCGACTTATGAAGTCATTCCACCTCTCCTCGGCTCTCCTCTCCATTTGGGCCACTTCAGCTCGAATTTGAGCTTGCATCTCAACTTCCATTTCACTCCGGAGTTCACTGCGGATCTCACTACGAAGAGCCTCGACCCTATGCTCCATCTGATCCTGCATCTGAGAAACAACGGATGGTGTGTACTGTTGTGAAGAGCTAGACACCCGACCCATCCGTTCGCCATAGTACAGCGATGCGCTTTCGCCAAGTCCCCCCACTCGACCCTTCTTGTTGCGACCACCCACAGTCTCCCAATACAACTCATTGTGACTCTTTTTAATCCCTTGGGTGGTGGCTTCTTCAACTTTCTTATGGTAGGACTCCTACAAAAAATACATTATACAATTATATATGGTTTTAATAATTTACCAACAACATCAGTTACAAGTAAAGCAACATATAAGTGAAAATGGAATCAATAAACAATAAAAGAAGCATATTTTAAGTTTAAGGGTCTTTATCCTCAAAATGAAGCCATTTCAAGCCTTTATGGCTTCTTACATGCCTATTTTCTATATTTCTTTACTTTTTAACTCATTCTTTGTCAAACCATCTCATATTTACATACTTATAACATATTATGGGTTTAAATCACAATAAAGAAGCATATTTCTAAGTTTAAGGGTCTTTATCCTCAAAATGAAGCCATTTCAAGCCTTCATGGCTTCTTACATGCCTATTTTCTATATTTCTTTACTTTTTAACTCATTCTTTGTCAAACCATCTCATATTTACATACTTATAACATATTATGGGTTTAAATCACAATAAAGAAGCATATTTCTACGTTTAAGGGTCTTTATCCTCAAAATGAAGCCATTTCAAGCCTTTACGGCCATAAACAAATCACAAATTAAACTAAGCTAACATACATCATTATACTAAACAAAACCAATATAAACTAACATATAATCCCGTACATTATTATAATAAAATATCAACCTAAACTAACATATCATGTCATACATTATTATACTAAATCAAAGCAATTTCACATGTCATGTCTTACATTTTTATGATAAGCCAAATTAAACTAACATATCAACCATTATTATAATAAAATAAACCAAACTAAAGTAACTTAAAATTATCACAAAATAAACTAAACTAAGAATTTTTAAAAATGTCATGTCACTAACCTCAAGATCTGCACTATTTATTGAGATTCAAAGCAAGTAAATGTTCAAATCCTACAAATACTAAAAATTAATATGTCAAATTTTATAATAAAGGTACAATTATTTTGTAAAAAATAAAATATATATATAATAAATGTACAATTACCGGCTGTAGAACGGGAGGTGGTGAAGATGGTGGTGGTTCTGGTCGGAGCGAGGACAATATTGGAGGAGGAATCGGCGGTGGTGGCTGATTGTAAAGGCGCCGGCGGTGGTGGCTGTTCAAAGCATTTTCAGACTAAAATTTAAAAATAAAAGTAAAAAAAAACACAAAACAACACTTACCGGCGGCGGAGAACAGCGTGGTTGGGCGACGCGGGACCTCTGACCGGCGCAATGGAGGCTGTTGCAGACGGTGGTTAATTGTAGTGGAGGCGTGTTTATATTTAAAAAAAAAAAAACTACACTTACCGGCGGCCGACCAACGGAAGGGCGGGTCGACCAACGGAAGATGGATCTCCGGCTGCGGCGAACGGCGAACGGTTTCCTATTCGACGGCGGCGGATCTCCTCTTTCTTCTTTCTTTCGTTCCTCTCTGTTTCTTCCTCTCTCTTTCTTTCGAATTCGCAGCAAATGGACACCAAAAACCAAACCCTTGACTTTTGTCTAATTAATTTTCCGATGGAATTAAATTCGGTCGGAAAATATAGTTTCCGACGGAATATTCCGTCATAAATATATTTACGACGGAATATTCCGTCGGAAACTATATTTTCCGACCGAATTTAATTTCGTCGGAAAATTTGCGAGGAATTTTCCGTCGGAAACTATGTTTTCCGACCGAAATTAACGTCAACCTTAAATCCGTCGTTGATTATAGGATTTGCGACGGAAAATCATGTCCGTCGGCATGATTCGGTCGGAAATTGACCCATTTCTAGTAGTGTTTTTTGCGGTAGTAATTCACAAGTTTTTTAATTTGCGGTAGTAATTTACAAAGTGGTATTAACTTGCGGTAGTAATTGGCAAATTTTCCTACATTATATTAAATTAATGTACACCCGCTTTTTTTTTTTAGAATTTGTGTAGATTAATAGATCTTATTATTATGACAAGTTTTTACTTTATTCATTAACTTAAATTTATTTTGGTTAACATTTGTAATTTTTAGATATAAAAAGATATATTCATGTGTGATCTTATTAGATTCATTTTAACGTGTCTTTAATTGAAATTCAATTTTTAGTATTGATAAATGTTTTACAAAAATCGGGTGTACATATTGTGTGGCGAAAAAAAACAGGAAAGAAATATGGGTAATTTTTGTGCATTTTGGGTAGATCTATCAATTCTGACCCAAACCTAATGATCCGATCTGAATGACCCGACACATGACTTGAAATTGACCTAATATAATGACCAAAAAATGACCCAATCTGATCCATACCAACCCAAAAATGCAGTTGACCTGATCCTGACCCGACATTTGAATTGACCCGACCCAAATTGTTTCACTCGAACAAACCCGATACTTGAAATTGACCCGAACAGACCAATACTCTCCCAAAATAAAATTACCTTATTGAACTAAAAATGTCTGGTGCCAAAAATAATTCAAATTGTCCATCTTCAATAGTAGCCACCCTCATAAAGAATTGGTAGTTCTTACTATAACAATAATTAAATATAAAATTATGATTTGAGTTAGATCTACAAATGGAACAACCCGAATACAACCCGACCTAATTTTGACTCGACCTGAATATGCCCTGAACATACTTGACTCGAAAATGACTCAACCTGAACAAACCCGACCCGAACTCAACCAGACGCGAACTCAACCCAATACCTATCCGAGCCATACCCAAAACCCAAAAATGGTCTGACCCGACCCTTACATGACCTGAATGTTAACTGACCCGATCAATACCTGATCCAAACAACCCATTTGCCAGGTCTAATTATGGGTATTGATAGTTTATGGGTAACTTTTGATGGTTTAAGAGTAATTTTATGAGAATAAAAGTAATTAGGTGTAAGAAGGCTAACTTTTATAGAACTAATGGTAATTTTGTGATAATACTGGTAACTTTTGGTATACAATAACAGGATGTACATTAAACTTATTGTACACTTGATACATACAAAAACTTTTATAATTATTATAAGATAAACTAAACAAAACCTTTATATTTGGTGACTCCAAAGCGCAACCACAAGTTTGATTGTAGTCGAGGTTTCCTCCTAATCTGACCCTAAACAACTCCACCTAATTCGAAGTGAGCCAATCTAGTTTACAATATGCAAAGTATAATAATTTAACTTGACTCAAATTCAAAATGATCCGACCTAACAAGACTTGACTCAAACCCAATTGATGACCAAAAAAATTTGCATAGCTGTTTTTGCTGGAATTCGTCATTCCATGTTGCATAATCCTAGATCAAATCTGATATGTCAGGTAGAGGCAATACATTAATGTATATGCTACATTATTGCTTTAAATGAATAAAATAATTTGTAGCATTGATCGTTTATCACGATGCAAACAAAAGTCAATGCCAAGTGCCAATACTTTTTCTATAGTAGTATAAAAGAAACAACTTACATGCATCATCATGTTTATTTAAAGATGTTTTCTTCAGCAACTAAGCATTATTAATTGGTTAATTCCATAATAAAATATATAATCACATCATATAAAAAAATCCCATTATACAAAGAAGTGATCGAACTATCTCCCAAAAGAAAAGATCTTGTTAATAAGTTGTCTGAAATCAAAAAAATAAAATTTCTCAAGATACATATTCTTATTTTTAGCACCAAAAAGAGCTCTAAATGCAAATGAAATTTGAATTTGGACTACCCAGTCAGTTCTCTGCTGAAGCTGCAAGCTTGCTTGCCTTAATACTATTTCTCTACTGCCTGTTTCGACGAAAACAGAAGGCGGATACTAACGGAAAACTCCCTCAACCATCTAGTTCATGGCCTTTAATTGGTCATCTGCATCTTCTGGGAGGACTTCCTCACATAGCCTTGGGTAAATTAGTAGATAAATATGGTCCAATTTTTATGATTAAGCTCGGTGTACAACGAGCCTTGGTCGTGAGCACAGCAGAGATGGCAAAAGAGTGCTTAGGCGGCACCAATGACAAAGTATTCTTAAATCGTCCCCAATCAATATTTGTAGAACATTTGGCTTACAATGGTGCGATGTTGGGGTTTAGCCAATATGGTCAATATTGGCGTGAGATTCGTAAGATTACCACCATCGAGCTGCTGTCAAACCATCGGGTGGAGATGTTCAAAAATGTCAGAATCTCAGAGGTAAGATCAGCAATGAAGAGTATATCAGATGTTAGGTCTGAATCAACTGACATGAAACAATGGTTTACTGATGTAAGTATGAACACTATTGTAAGATTAATTTCTGGCAAGTCAATGAAGGAATGTTACCAAGGAGAAGAATATGACAGGTGTGTAAAGGCATTCAGGGACTTCTTCGAGTTGGCAGCTGCATTCGTCCCTGCTGATGCACTTCCCTTTCTGAGATGGTTCGATATTGGTGGGTATGAGAAAAAAATGAAAGCCGCGGCAAAAGAGATTGATCATATAATGCATAACTGGTTGGAGGAGCATAAAGAAAGAAGAGGATCAAAAGAGGAAGAGGGGAAGCTTGATTTCATGAATGTGATGCTTGGGATTTTCGAGACAGGACAGGAAACGCCTTCCAAATTCGAAACTGATACAATCCTTAAAGCCACTTGTGCGGTAAGAACTTTTTGCATAATTTTAAAATTTGAGTTTGATGACATCAATTTATTGGATGATCTAATTTTTTGACAAGAACAAAAAATTACACCAAAATCCTGTTTTGCTGCAGTATATCAATTAAGATTGTAGCTATGAATTAAACTTATTAGGCTGCCTTTGATTTGAGCTTACATTATTTGAGAATTTTTTACAGAGGAAAAGAATTTCTTCATACTTGTTTATTGTTTAGAGATGACATTTTTGTTGATTAGTAGAAATGAAATAAATATAATACTCATGTTTTACTTATTTCTAATTGATAAGTTTCCACCCTCTAATTATTATAATATGAAGTATATATGTAACATTATTTGTGCTAAATCATATTCTACTAACCAAGCTAGGAAAGGACTTAATATTTAATTTCTAATGTCTGATATAATAACCAATAATTAGATAAAAATGTTATGTTCTTCTACTTGGTAGGCAATGATTTTAGCGGCAGCATACACTACATCAGTAACCTTAACATGGGCACTGTCACTGCTACTCAACAATAAAGATGTCCTGAAGAAGACTCAAGCAGAACTCGACAACGTGGTGGGCAAAGAAAGGCAGGTGGAAGAATCAGACCTCAAGAATTTAGTCTACTTGCAAGCAGTTCTTAAGGAGGCTATGAGACTATATCCTGCTGTGCCACTTTCAGTTCCTCGAGTAGCCATCACAGACTGCACTGTCAGCGGTTACAACGTCCCAGTTGGCACACAACTCTTTGTTAATCTTTACAAAATACACAGAGATCCACAGGTTTGGGAAAACCCTTTAGATTTTCACCAACATATAACCCCACAAACAATTAAATCAAATAATATAAAGAACAGCAAATTACAGATAAGCTAGGAAAAATCTTCAAAATATATCAGCAACCAAGTATATATGATATTTCTTGCTATGTGGTTGTTAATGCACATTTTTGTTAAAGACTGAAAAAAACTATTGACAACCAAAATCTAAATTCAGAGTTTCAGACAACTAACCAAATAGAAATAAGCTCTGAATGGAGTTTCACAACCCCATCAAGTTCTCGGTTGAAGCCGCCACAGGCGTGCTTGCGTTCATACTAGTCCTTTACTGTCTAGTAAGATGGAAATGCAACGATAACAATACCAAATTTGATCCACCTGAACCATCAGGTTCATGGCCTATTATTGGCCATTTACTACTTTTAGGAAAACTTCCTCATGTAACCTTGGGAAAGTTAGCTGACAAATATGGTCCAATCTTTATGATCAAGCTCGGTTTCACACGAGCCTTGGTTGTGAGTTCAGCAGAGACGGCTAAAGAGTGCTTAGGTACGAATGACAAAGTATTCTTAAGCCGGCCTCAGAAGATCTTTGTTGAACTCATGAGTTACAAATCGGCTATATGGGGTATGAGCTCATATGGCCAGTACTGGCGTGAGATGCGTAAGATCACCACCATCGAGATCTAATCCAATCATCGGATTGAGATGTTCAAAGATGTCAGAATATCTGTAATACAATCAGCCTTAAAAGTCCTCTTCGATGATTGTAGGATCAAGGGAAGTTCGTTAGTTGAAATGAATCTATGGTTGAACGACATAAGCTTGAACATTATGGTAAGACTGATTTCGGGGAAGTTGTTGAAGGAATTCTACCAAGCTGAGAAATGCAATGAGTGTAGTCAGGCATTCAGGGATTTCTTCGAATTGGCGGGTGCATTTGTTCCTGCTGATGCACTTCCCTTTCTAAGAAGGTTTGATATCTGAGGGTACCAAAAAAAAAATGAACAAGGTTGCAACAGAGATTGATCAAGTAGCACAAATGTGGTTGGAGGATCATAAGACAAGGATCTCTAATGTGGCTAAAGAAAAGGATTTTATAGATGTGATGCTTGGAATTTCCGAGACTCAACAGGAAAAGCTCTCCGAATATGATGAAGATACCATCATTAAAGCTGCTTCCATGGTAACAACTTTTTCATTCATATTCATATGATTAATTAGTTAATAAATTAAAATTTGATGTTTTTGCGAAACAGAGTAAGAACATAATTTGTTTTTGTTTGACTGATTAGACATTGATTTTAGCGGGATCAGACTCGACATCAGTAACACTAACATGGGCACTGTCATTGCTACTCAACAATAAAGACGTCCTGAGGAAAACTCAAGCAGAACTAGACAATGTGGTGGGTAAAGAAAGACAAGTCGACGAATCAGACCTCAAGAATTTAGTCTACTTACAAGCAGTCCTCAAAGAGACAATGCGACTTTACCCTGCAGGGTCGCTTTCAGTCCCAAGAGAAGCCATCACAGACTGCACCGTGAACGGTTACCACGTGCCAGCAAGTACTCATCTCTTCGTTAATCTTTACAAAATTCACAGAGACCCTCGAGTGTGGGAACATCCTCTAGACTTTGAGCCTGAAAGATTTCTAAGGACTTTCAAGGATTTTGATGTTAGAGGCCAAAGTTATGAATATTTGCCTTTTGGAAGTGGTAGGAGGATGTGTCCTGGTATATCCTTTGCTCTTCAGGTAATGCAATTTACGCTTGCTAGTTTACTCCATGGATTTGAGATCGCGACTCCATCAGATGAACCTGTCGATATGACAGAGCATTTTGGACTAACCAACGTCAAAGCCACACCACTTGAAGTTGTCCTCACACATCGCCTTCCTCACAATCTTTATTCGTAGCTAAGATATTGCAATAAATTTGATCTTCATTTGTGTAACTCTAATAATAACGTTTTGACACTAGCATGCTGTTTTTTTAGCATTTGTCATATCATGTTTACATTAGAATTTTAAGCACAATAAAGCTATCATTGTTTACAAGACCTCTAAAAATACAGAATTTTGAAATTGCATCAATTTTTAATTAAGTAAACTGTGAGATTGGTTTTATGTGTACTTAGCCATTATTCTAGATAAGCCAAGAAAATGGGACGGCAGTATTGCAAATTTTGACTTGCTGTGAAGCTAATTTGTGCTTAGATTTTATGATAATAATACCGTTTCTTAATATTTTCATTTGAAAGTTTTATTACCCTATTCACAATTTCACATTTCACATAAACTATTTTGATTATCTTTAATTTTTTTTTTTCTCCTGAAAGATAGAGATTTGTAATTAAGTGGATCTTATTAATCATGTCATCCTTTTTTTTTTTTTTTTTTTTTTTTTTTTTTTTTGTGATATCAGAAAAAGCATTATATTAATCATACAACAAATTACACACTAATACATTAGGGGTAGGACCATACAATCTCTTTCTATTAGGGAACCAAATATTTTCGGAGGAGCACGACGCTCTTCTCTTAGAGCCACTCATCCTGCAAAACAAGGAGTTAGTAATATCGGAGGGAGATTTACTTTTTAGACAAGTGGTTTTCTTTCTGACTATGGAACGGCGAGAGGAGCCAAATCTCTTCGACATCTCAGAGGGGCGCGTATTGGTGTTAGCAGTAGACGTCAATTGAGAAAGGACTGGTTCATCTGGAATAGGCATCAACGTACTTTCACATGACGACGGATGAGTGACCATATGTATGGTCGGATCTTCATGCGTCGGGATTGGAGTTGTTTCACACCTATCATGCCCTTCAAAAGGGGGGTGACTAATCTCAATTGGTGTAGAAACTTCTCGAGTTTCAACACAATCCATTTTTTGAGGAGGATCAAGTACTCGAATGCTAATATAATTCTTTCTGGAAGAGCAATAGTAGAGTAGTGTTCGTCCCTTGGAAACTACCCCATACATTTTCGGGGTGAGATGTAAATAGGAATCAATTTGTTTTCGGTTTGAAAACCGATAACCTGACCCTGTAAGATTTGATTTTTTTTCTTTTGAAGTTGAATTCAGAACAGAATTGATATCAATAACGTTGGGCTTTTCATCTTGATCGGAGGGGTTGACCTTACCCTCCGACTCTATATATTTGCCAACAACATTCTTTTCCACTTTGGTGTCATCTTGTGTACACCAACGCATCTACGAACACAACCATTTTCATAACCATCTTCTTCCTTCCTTTTCCCCTTCTTTCCTAACTTTCTTTTTTCTTCTTCCTCCTCATATTGAACATAGTCTCTAAACCTCTCATCCTCTGTTGTAACCGCAAGTGCATCATCTACAAAAGTATACTTTAATCATGATCAATTATTTATAATTTTTTTACAATTGAACTCATGCACTAACAAACATGAAAATAAAAGTATTGAAACCACTAAGAAGCATAAGTATTGATCAGTTCAGGTTAGTTTCGTATGTTTTATAACACTCACTCTATCCCATAATATAGTGCTCAATTCCAATAGTATTATGATAAAATTCTAATAAGTATGACATTATTTTCATTAATATATACAAAAAAACTTAAGCAGGTAATATAATATTTACTAGATTCGTCTCAATTTATAGTTTTATATATGATATCAACTTTTAATAATTTTGGTTATTGCGAAATTAAAAAAATTTGATGCTTATAAGTACGTCTTGAAGACCATGTCATCAATGGAAATCGACACTATAATATGCAAGGGAAAGAGTGGTAGTTAATTTTATTGGATTATTGTAGCTTTTTTACTCTATTTGCATTTGTTAGCATGTTATATATTATGCACATACATTTTTGAGGTACCTAAATTTGAGAATGGCAAATAATAGTGGTTCAAAAACTGCTACTGTAGTATTAAAATATATTTCTAGCTTTAGTGGCATAGTGTTAAAAGTGGTTGTGTTGGAGTTTATCATATATCCACATTAGCATGGAAGTTATAATTTCATGCATATAGCTATATAGAACTTAGAACCCGTTCACATTTACTGAATTGAGCTGAGCTTAACTGAAATGAACTGATTGGAGCTTATCTGAACTGATTGGAGCTGAAGTGAACTGAATTGAACTAAGCAGAAATGAATATTTTATGAGAGAGGGAAATTAGGAGCTGAACTGATTGGAGCTGAGCTGAGCTGAACTGAACTGAATTGAAATGAAATTAGTAAATGTGAACATGCCCTTAGTGTTGTTTAGGCTCTTTATCGTATTTTTGCAAACTTCCGTGGGAAATGCATGCCAAAAGTTTTCATATTTAGGCATAAAGTTTCAATTTCCTAGCAGTTCATATTATCTTTATCTATCTATTAAATGACACAAAAATGAGAAACTTTAGACCTATACTAATGTAATTCTCTAGTCTCACACGTCTTCTTACTAGTGTTCTTAGTAACATTCTCATAAATAGTCATATTGCAACATTTCGATTTCTTAATCTATCATTAATTAAAGTAATGTGTAGTTGCGTTCACGAAAGTAATACATAATTTGACAGTTTATACTATGTAGTAATACTCTCATATAATGTGTTTGTCTAATACCTCTAATAATGTGATGGTGACCATCATAGGACACCGGGACACCAATGACCAACATCGCTTCAGTCTTTTTATAAGTAATGTTATCACAACACTTTGTAAGATCATTTGATTTCAGTAACTCTGAAATCTAAAATCAGTCCACAAAAGAAAATCACCTAAAATGGAGTTACTCAGCTCAATCAGTCTACCAGCTGTTTCGATAGGCACGAGCATGCTTGCGTTCATACTATTTATTTGTAGCCTGAAAAGGAAGACTGATAATGCCAAGCGAAAACCACCACAACCATCAGGTTCATGGCCTATTATCGGCCATCTACCTCTTCTAAGAAGAGGGCTTCCTCACATAATAATGGGGAATTTAGCTGATAAGTATGGTCCGATTTTCATGATGAAGCTTGGTGTCCACCAAGCCTTAGTTGTAAACTCATCAGAGACGGCTAAAGAGTGCCTACACACCAATGACAGAGTTTTTGCTAGTCGGCCCTGCTCGATGGCTGCAGAGCATTTGGGTTACAATTCTCTCCTGCTGGGATATAGCCCTTATGGCCTGTACTGGCGTGAGATGCGTAAGATAGTCATGTCTGAGCTCCTGTCCAATAACCGGCTAGAGATGTTAGAACGCCAAAGAACATCAGAGGTAAGATCGGTCATAAAAGCCATATATGAAAGTTATTTAATTAAGCGAAAATTAAGTCCAGGTAATGATAGTAGTTTCATAGTGGATATGAAGCAATGTTTTAATGAAATAAGCAGTAATACTTCAGTAAAATTAATTGCTGGAAAGTCACTGAAGGAGTTTTATCCTGGTGAGGAAGAATATAAGAAGTGTACAAAGGCGTTGAGAGATTTTTTCGACTTGGGAGGCGTCTTTGTTCCCTCTGATGCTCTTCCATTTTTGGGGTGGTTGGATATTGGAGGGTATCAAAAGGCTATGAAGAAAGTTGCAAAGGAACTCAATCATGTAGCTCAAGGTTGGTTGGATGAGCATAAAGCAAGGCGGCTCTCTGAAGATCAGGGGAAAGAAAAACAGCACTTCATCGATGTAATGCTTAGTATCATCGAAACAAGGAAGAATGATCCGGTATTACACGAAGCAGACAAAATCATCAAGGCCATTAGCATGGTAAGTAAATTCTAATGCACACTACAAACTTTATAGCATTAATTTCATCAAATTAACATGGTTGCATTAATTAACTCTTAATAGGCAATGATATTAGGAGCAACAGACACAACATCTGCAACATTAACATGGGCATTGTCATTACTATTGAATAACAGAGAATCACTGAAAAAGGCGCAAACTGAGATAGACAATCAAGTAGGAAAAGGCAGGCTAGTCGAAGAATCAGACCTCAGGAAACTAATCTACTTGCAAGCTGTCCTAAAAGAGACTATGAGGCTATATCCAGCCGTGCCACTAACACAACGCGAAGCCCTTACAGACTGTACTGTGAGTGGTTACCAGATCCTTCCAGGGACTCAACTCTTTATCAATATTTCGAAGATTCAAAGAGACCCGAAACTGTGGACTGATCCATTGGAGTTTCGGCCTGAAAGGTTCCTTACTACTCACACAGAATATGATGTCAGAGGTCAAAACTTTGAACTAATTCCTTTTGGAAGTGGCAGAAGAAGCTGTCCTGGAATAACTTATGCTCTTCTGTCAATGCAATTTGCATTGGCCAATTTACTCCATGCTTTCGATGTATCGACTCTATCTGATGAAGCTGTTGACATGACTGAAGGTTTTGGGATTACCAACTTGAAAGTCACACCACTTAAAGTCCTCCTCAATCCGCGTCTCCAGGACCACGTTTACACACTTTATTAGTCCAAGAATGGTTGTTGATTCATCGCCACCAATAGAATTTATATGTACTTGTCAAACTAATAATAATAAGATTCTTTCCTCATTGTTGCACGGGTTCAAAAATTGAAATTATGATTAGTGGGATGAATTTGTAGTACTATATATTTTATCTGTACACCAATTGTCAAAAATTTACAAAATTTCAAATGAATCATTTCCTATTCGCAACCCCTTGGCAAATCAATCATGTCATGTTCCCTACTAAAACTAATGAACATAACAACACTAAGGCCAGAAAAATGCCACCCGAACCATCTAGTTCTTGGCCTTTTATTGGCCATCTACATCTTCTAGGAAGGCTTCCTCACATAAGCTTAGGTGAATTAGCAGATAAATATGGTCCAATTTTCATGATCAATCTTGGTGTAAAACGCACCTTGGTTGTTAGCTCAGGAGAGATGGCGAAAGAGTGCTTAGGCGGTACCAATGGCAACATATTTGCCAACCGGCCTATAAAATCCATTGTCAAACTTGTGACTTACAATGCAGCGATGTTTGTATTCAGTCAATATGGCCAATACTGGGGTGAGCAGCGTAAAATTGCAATCGTTGAGATCTTGTCCAATCATCGTATTGAGATGTTCAAAGATGTAAGGATCTCAGAGGTACGATCAGCCATAAAAGTGCTCTATGATAACTGTCAGATTACAGAACTATCACCTTCTGGTTCTGCATCAGTTGACATGTCAGAGTGGTTAAAAGACTTAAGCTTGAATATTATACTAAAGCTGATTTCAGGAAAGACTTTGAAAGAATCCTACCAAGGTGAGGAATATACTCGGTGTACAAAAGCAAACGAGGATTTCTTCCAATTGGCAGCTGCTTTTGTTCCTGCTGATGCCGTTCCCTTCTTGAGGTGGTTCGATTTTGGAGGATACGAAAAAGAGATGAAGAGGGTTGCAAAAGAGATGGATCGCGTACCTCAAAGATGGTTGGAGTAGCACAAAAAAGCAAGAAGCTCTAATTCGGCACAAAAAAATCAGGATTTTATAGATGTGCTGCTTAGTACATTTGAAACAGAACAGCAAAAGCCTTCTGAATTTAATACAGAAACCATCATTAAAGCTACATGTATGGTAAGTATATTTATATATGATTTCATATTCATCAGTTAACAATGATTAATTCTAGAAGAAAAATAATGAGATCAATAATTATTATCATGTTATGATTTATTAGTTGTTACAGGTTGAAATAAATCAAAATAAGATGAATGTTGTGAAAAATGAGTTAATAAAATTTCTTCTCCTAGATGAAATAAATCAAAATAAGATTAATGTTGTGAAAAGTGAATTAATAAAATTTCTTCTCCTAGGTGATGATATTAGCAGGAGTAGAAACCACATCAGTGACCTTAATATGGACGCTGTCATTGCTACTCAACAATAAAGACGTCATGAACAAGACTCGAGCTGAAGTAGACACTGTGGTGGGCAAAGAAAGACAGGTTAATGAATCAGACCTCACAAACTTGGTCTATTTGCAAGCAGTTCTTAAGGAGAGTATGCCACTTTACCCTGCTGGACCACTTTCAGTCCCTCGAGAGTCCATTACAGACTGCACCGTGAATGGTAACCACATCCCAGCAGGAACTCAGCTGTTTGTTAATCTTCACAAAATACAGAGAGATCCAAAAGTGTGGGATAATCCTTTGGACTTCCAACCTGAAAGGTTTCTGATGACTTACAAAGACTACGATGTTAGAGGCCAAAATTATGATTATTTGCCATTTGGAGGTGGTAGAAGGATGTGTCCTGGTATATCCTTTGCTCTTCGAGCTATCCAGTTTATCGTTGCTAATTTGGCACATGGGTTTGAGATCTCTACTCCATCAGATGAACCCGTCGACATGACTCAAGCTTTTAAACTAAGCAACCTCAAAGTTAAACCGGTTGAGGCCATCCTCATACGTCTGTCTTCCTCACAACCTTTATTAAATATAGAAGAATTAGAATTGTATTTCTTGATCCTATTATTCCACCAACATCAATATTTATACAAGATTTCTCCTTGAGTAACAAGGAAACCAAAACTTATCTAACTTAGGAAAACAATTATCTTTTCCTAAGATAAACTAGAAAATATATCTTGCATAATCACATAATATTTTGTAAAGATATTATCATATCTTTCCTAATAAATATGAATAAATAAATTTAGGAAAATTTGCGAGGAAGGTCCTCTTATGAGGTCGACCTTGTGTGGAAGGTCCTTTTATGAAAAAGGTGACACAAAAGGTCCTTATATGAATATTGGGTTGCGAGGAGAGCCCATTGACCGTTCTCCGGCGTTGACCAAAATTTTTCGGCCATTTAAAATCACGTGCAAATCACGTGACCCTTAAGTTACCCCTTTTTTTTTTAATTTTTTTTTCCTTTCCCCTCTTTTCTCACGATTTTCCCTCATTCCCCCATTTCTCCCTTATGAAACCCTAATTTCAAAACCAAATTAATCCCCAAATCTTCAATTCATACCCCTAAAATTACAATTGAAGGCCAATCAAAGCCATTCAACCATAGGCGGTGCTGCGTGCTCTTCTTTCCTCCTCACCTTAGTGTTGTATGTTGCTTGAACTTTTCCCAATCGTCTTCTTCATTCTTTAATTTTCGCCGGTTATTGGTGGGTGGGTGTTTGTGGGGGTCGTGGGGTTGGGTTCTAGTGGGGTGGATGTTCGAGGTGTGGGTTTTAATGGGTGGTTTTTGTAGGTGGTCGGTTCCGGTAGTTTTGGTAAAATTAAACACCATAACAACCATAATTCTAATTCCAATTGTTGTTTCCAAGATTAATTTAAAGGGGGAAAAGGGAAATCAAGGGAAAAAGGGAAAAAAAAACCTCATTTAATGGTCACGTGCACATCACGTGATTATTTTTGGCCGGAAAAAATTGATCAACGCCAAAATTTGGTCAAAGGATCCTCCTCGCAACCCAATGTTCATATAAGGACCTTTCGTGCAACTTTTTGCATAAAAGGTCCTTTCACACAAGGTCGACCTCATAAAAGGACCTTTCTCGCAAATTTTCCATAAATTTACTATGGTTATCCATTGATTCATTTGAGTACTACTATATATGTTAGTAGTTTGTTCTGATATTGCATGCTGTTTATTAGCATATTCATATCAATTTTCACTTCTCTTCTATGTATTTATATCAAAATTAATCGCACTTCCATTTATCTCTATAAAAAGAATATGACGATTAGAAAACAACTTTGAGTATCCAATTGTTTAAGTACAATACCAGATATATATACTTCTTCAATTGATCAATTCAGCAGAATACTTCACCATGGAAATCTTATCGTCTTTTCGAATTTGTGGAAAGCAGCACCATTGAGATGAACTGTTACATATTGCATTATTGTATCATATTAGTCTGTCATGTATCCATATAATGTTTAATAGAGTACAAATTACTATTCAATTTTGGACCACTTTGTGTAAAAAAATTCAAAAAGAAATTCAATCTTTTGCTAAAATGTTATAATTCCCTAGTCCTTCATGTCATCTTCACCTATCTACATCAAATGACTCTGAAGACAATATTGTACATTTGTATTAGCCCCACATATACTTGAACATTTACAGTATTCACTAGCTTAGGCAATGTAGGCATATTGCAAAAATGTCAGTTGCTTAATCCCTTTTCCAATACTAATGCAATGTTATTATAGTAAACAAAGTTACGTTCACGAAAACACTACTATGTGTTAGTGCGTTTGAAATATGATAGTCACTATTATTAAGACCATCATTATTCTCAAATTAATGGTTGATTTTTCCTTTTCTAAAAAATGCTTGGTCAAATCTTTTTTTTTTTTTTTTAATTTTTCCTTTTTATAAATCATTTTCTTTTTTCCTTGAAATTAGTTTTTGATTTTCGAAAATCTTTTCTTTCATATTTATTTTATTAAAATCATTTATCAATAAAATCCAAACATAAGATTAAATCTAAAAAAAACTATTCTTCAATGTTCATCAACGATCTTCAAGGTTTTTCATCCGTGGATGAAATAAATAACCATTCATGATTTTTCTCGTAAATACACTCATGCATCAAAAATTATTAAAAATATGCCTCAATCTACATAGCTTATCCAAAATTTTAAGATTTCTGAAATCGGGGTTATAGTGAATATGGATTGATTTTAATCTTTCAATAATAGATTTAATCGGACAATCGATCTCAACCTAGGGATGCGAAATATGCGATTTTGTGTATCGAAATTAAAAAAATTTACGTTTTTCGCTAATTAGGTTCTTTAAGCAAATCTGAGAAGAAATCGTAACATACTTTCTTCTAAACTTAGTTTAATCCAAAAAAAACAGAGATATAATTTTAAAATTATTTTTATATTAGGTATTCACCAATATGCTAATAGGTCATTACCTAGTTTTATTGTTTATTAGTATACGAAAATAAAGAGTTTTGTAATCATATTAAAATGATATGATTATGACTTCTGTGATTACATTTATGTAATCATCAAACAGTTAATATATATGGTTAACTTATCAATTAAAGTCTTAATGTCAATGGAACTTGTCCAATGGAACTAGAATTTCTGATTTTTGGTGTGAATAAGTGGGGAGAAGCTTAAGATGTGATATGATTACTAAAAAATATGATAAGTTTTTGGGGTTGTTAAGGTACTTGAATCAAATTAAGTCTAGAATAGTAGTTGGGTTAAAAGATGAGAAAAAATTTAAATGGATGCACATATGATTGAGAGAAGGAAGATAGGAACAAAAAAATGAGATAATGAAGAAGAAAATTAGAGGTTAAGTTAATACACAAAGTTTTATATGTGGTTGGCAGCGCCGTACGACCATCCATAATTTTTTTCTCTCTCTTCTCTCTCCTCTCTGATCTCCTCCATTTTCTCTTCCCTGAAGCAGTGAAGCACCAAACCTATAATTTCTCCCAGCCATATATAATTTCTTGTCACTCCAACCCAGATCATCGTCGTCTTCGTTTCTCTATCCTCTTTTCTTCTCCAATCTATCATTCGTCGTCGTGGGTTAGGGGCTGGTTAGGGTGGTTTCGTCATCGTGGTTAGGGGCTAATTTGGGTATGGTTCTGGGTTTAGTCAGGGTCAGGGGTGGTTTTTGGGTGTGGGTTGTTCGTGGGTGGGTTTGGTGGAGGTTCGTTTTGGGTAGAAGTGGTTTCGTGGGTGGGTAGTGGTAGTTTTGTGGGTGGGTAGTGGTGGTTTTGTAGTGGTTTCGTGGGTGTGTAGTGGTGGTTTCGTGGTTCTAGGTTCTAGATCTGTTTTGTTGGTGGTTTAGGTTGGTATTTGAAATTTTGTTGGTGGTAATTTCTTGGTTGTTGGTGGTTAGGGTGGGTTTTGGGCTACTGGCGTTGGGGCCGGAGCTGGTGGCGTGGGGCAGTGGGTACGGGAGTTGGTGGTGGTGTTGTGGAGTTTAAGGCTTTGAGGTGGTATAGTATTAGGGGTTACTTACTTGGTTACGGGTTACTTGGTCCGGTTAGAGGTTACTAGGTCCGGTCAGGGGTTACTTTGTCAAGGGTACTAAGTCCGATCAGGGGTTACTAGGTCCGGTCAGGGGTTACTTGGTCCACTAGTAGAAAAAACGCATTAGGCAGCGGTTCAAACCCGGTCTAAGGCACCGGTTTGAACCACTGCCTATTTGAGGGGTGCCAAAAACCCCCTATTTGGC